ACAGCTGGGGCTTCAAAATGTCACCACCTCACTCCATTCCCTGCCTGGCCACTTTAGAGAACATGGTGGCTTTCCCAGCTTGAGGGCCTGATCCCCCACTTTAACAGGACTGAGACCGCCCCCCCTTTCCCAGTTGGAGAGAAGCAGGTAGGTTGAAGGTCATCATTCTCTACCACCGCCCCCTTCCCCCATCCCAGGGAACTTATTCTGCCTATTTCTCTGGGTGACCCCCCCCCCCGACCCAAGGCTCTCCAATAGCCATTTTGGGAAATGAATCCAAGCCCCCCACCCCAACATTTCACTGATGAGGACACTGGAGGCAGAAAACAGTGTGCAGACCAGCGTCTGCCGCATCTGATGAAAACCCCACTTCCTACCTCAGAACTGGGGCTCCGCCACCTGCTATCTCTGAGTGGGGAACCTAGTGCATGCTGTGGCCAGGTCCCCTGGCCACACACAGCACCAGCTTCTGCCCCTGCCCCCAAACCAGAGGAGAGTACAGAGACCGGGCGCTCAGGGGCCAGGCAGGTCAAAGTGTTCTCGGTTACCTTTCAGCTCCCAGTGGCCCAGGATTTATTCAGTACAGACACAGAAAAACATCCTTGCATACTAAAAAAGGAATTTGTTCCATGAACGCCTCCCTTCTTTCAACAAAATGGGAGGAAAAAAGCCTTAGACACCGTTGGCTCATGCCTGTAATCCCAGCTACTCAGGAGGCTGACATCTGAGGATTGAGATTCAAAGCCAGTCCAAGAGACTTTTATCTCCAATTAACCACCAAAAAGCCAAAAGTGGAGCTGTGGCTCAAGTGGTAGAGTGCTAGCCTTTAGCAAAAGCTCAAGGACAGGGCCCAGACCTAGAGTTCAACTCCCAAGCTGGGCAAAAACAAAAAAGGACTAAGGAAACTGTCCCTTTCAACACCTCATGGGATGGGGAAGAAAAGTGCCAGCCTACAGCAAAAAAGCTAAACAAGAGCACAGGGTCCTAGGTTGAACACACACATACACACCACAACTCATGCCTCACTATTCATCAGTAGGCTGAGATCTGAGGATCACAATTCAAAGCCAGCCTTCAGCCTGGGCAGGCAAATCCAAAACACTCATATCCAATGAACCAGCAAAAAGCCAAGAGTGGAAGTGTGGCCAACATAGTAGACAAGCAGCCTAGAGTGGGAAAAACAAAACAACCACAACAACAACAAAAGCAATCAAGAATGCAAGGTTCTGAGTCCTAGTACTGCCTGTTCCCTCCCTCTGTAAAGTGGAAAGGCTTCATCTGCCCCATAGCCAGGGTCATCTAGAGAAGCCAATGCCCAGGAAACAAAGAAACACACACTGTGGGTATCCACCATCAGCTGAACAAAAGGAGCCTACAGGGGTGGCTGAAAGGGGTGGCAAGTGGTCTTGAGAGGTGGTGGCCTCTCCCCAGGTGGACAGGATGGGTGGAAGGAACAGTCCTGGGCTCAGCAGTCCTGAGCTAGAGAAGGCTGGCACCCAGCGAAAGATCAGAGGAGGAGCGATCAGGTAGGCGGGCTGGCAGGAGGAGCGCGAACCTCCGTATATAAGTTGGGATCGGGCTTCTGGAGTCTTGCTAAAAAGAGCTCTGGGGCTGGAAGACCTTCTCTTCCCCCTTCCCATGCCTCAGTTTCCCTACTTGTGAGTTGAAAAGTGCAGATGAGAAGCCAAAGGGCTGATCAAGCTTCCAGACAGGGAAGGAAAGCGAGACTGCATGGTGAGCAGGTAAATGTGGGCACCTAGTGTGAGCATGGCACCCCCACCCCACCCCCAGATCCCCACACCTCAGCGTGCTTTGCACACATTGGTGCTTGCCAACAGAGAGTAAGGTCAGCCTGGCAGACTCTTCCAGCAGCATCAGCACCAAGGCACTGCCCAGGTACCTCCATGGCTGGGGTTTTTTTTAAGCTGGTTTTGTTGTCTGGGGAGCTACCGTAGGAATAGGGCAGAAAATGACAGCAACAGGTCAGCCCTTTCCGCCCTACCCCAGCCCTCCCCGGCCTCCCTACCCCATGGCTGTACTGAATCACCCTGGCCTGGAAGGCCTAGCCTGGAAGAGACGGTGACCTCTGGAAGTTCCAGGCCAGGCCTGTGATTCTGTAATCTCTGCTGTGCCATAATTAAGGAGGGAGGCAGAAGAGTAGAAGGAGAAACCGTTTATTACTCCTCTGGGGTTTAACAGCTTGGGGGAAAAAAAAAAAAGGAGAGAGGGAGACAGAGAGACACAGACAGTTGAGTGTCAACTTCCAGCACAACTGGCCTGAGGCACCTTGGTCAATACTTGGGGGCTTGTCTGGTAGAATGGAGGCTCCCAGCTAATCGTCATTTCCTATAAATCCGAGCTCAGGACCACCACACACTTCTCTAGTACAGGCTGTCCCGTCCCCCGCCCCCACCCTGTGCTCAGAGATGAAGCATCCAGCCTGTTTGTTCCAGGCAGATCTAATCACACCACACGAACAGTCAAGTCTAGAGGGCAGGACACTGCATGAATAATTCAAGCACTCGAGTCACTTGATTGTGCCTGCAGATAAAACACCAAGTCAACCGCTAAACAGGTCAGCTGATAAAACTTGTTTGCTCAGGCCTAACCACCCTCTCCCCCCCCCCCCCAGATGCACTCAGGGCCCACACTACAATTAGTGGTGGGGTTTTCTGCCGGCAGAACCTCACACACCTAGGGAGCGGCCAAAGCCATTAGGTCAGGCTTCCTCCACCCCCACTCCTCTCCCTACCACAGGCTCTTCTCACCCAGCCCCGGAACACTCAAGTGGGCCAGGAAGGGACTGGAAGAAAAAGGTGAGGCTGCTTTCAGGAGACTGGGGCTGGAATCTGAGCCCAGGCTCAGCTTCCCTGGTGCCTCAGTTTCTCTGCCAGTAAAAAGAAGACCTGGAATCCCTCCCCAAACACTTGGAGGCTGAAGAGGATGGAGTTCAAAGTGGCCAAACCCAGGCATGCTCCTCCTAAGAGGATGTTCTGGAGAATGGCCACAAATCCCAGACGCACACAGCTGCTCCGTTTCTGGGTACACAAACCACCCTGCCAACCGTGCTAGGACGTTTAACCCTTCTGAGAGCGCAGAACATAGGCCAGCCGGCTGAGGTAGCTTCCTCCTGCGGCCAAGAGCTATTCACACCCCCAGACTTGAAGGACCCCGCCCACACAGACCTCAACATGCAAAGACATATTACACCTTCATTACAAAGCTCTTAGAATAACTGCTGCTATAAATTTTAAACCTGGGTGCAATTATCCTCTGTAAACACACCCAAGATACTAAGCAGGGGCAGGGAGAGGAGGAAGTGGCAACCTTGCGTAACACCCCAAGGTTTCTAAAACACGTGGGACACCCACCCACCCCCCCCCCTCAGGTTTCATCACCCATATTTCTCCCTGTGGCTAGTCAAACCTGGTCAGTTCTGTCCAGCATGAGGCCAAAACTACCTCCATTTAATATTCTCCCAGGAGAAACTTTACATCCAAAGCAATATCTATTATTCCTGGGGACAGGAGAGGTAGAACCATGGCCGCCCTCCTGTGCCTTCCTAGAGAACTAATCAGCCGGAAAGTCACAAGCTGGCTTCCCAATAAACTCAGGCCCCTTTCTGGCTATCCTTCACCCAACAGCCAATGGCCAAGGCGCCCCCCCCTCCCATCCCAGAGGGACACATAAACTACAGATTCAAAAAGGCTCTGTCCAAAGTCACTGGAGCAAGCAGGAATCTGTTTCTCCTTCCCTGGGTAGAGGGGAAGGTGCGGCAGGGAGGGACACCTGCCCACCTCACCAGCCACAGGTCCCCTTCTCCCTCCACCCCCACTTTAAAAAGCAAAACTTAAACCTTGTAAATGACTTGTTACTTTAGAGCAGAAAATCCATTCAAGTCACGGTCACCAAAGGCTAGAATGAGTCAACAGCCTTCTGAGATTTCAAGAACACCAATTGTTAAAAAGAACAGCCAGCCTGTGCCATTTATCCGTGCCAAGTCACCGCTAATCATGGCCAAGCCAAATTATAGGCAGCCTCTCCTCAGAACACAAATACACAAACAGGCCTCTCCCACAGCCTAGCCCGGCACTGGACTGGTTACTGATAGGCACCCAGATAAAGGGTGTTTGTATTTGCTCGGTTTGAGGTAGACTGTTATTACAAGAGTGACAATGGGAGGGAGTTTACATATCCATCAGAGCGCACCACACTAGCTAGCTAAACTGGTTTGACTTCAGGATTTCAAAGCTGAGCTCAATCCCAGCCAGCTCAGCCTCCAAGGCTTCCTTGGCTAAGCTGTCCCCAGGCCAGGCCAGGCCAGGCCAGGGCAGGGAGCTTCAGCTTCCTTCTGTGAAATGGGGACACCACGACCTTCAATTAGGAAGAGATGAGAAAGCTGTCTCCTATGTACAAAGTGACACTGGCTAGCTACCCTCCACTCTGGCTTCTTATGTTATTAAGCCGTTAGTGACTTCATTCCCTTACATTTCGACAGCTCAGCCTGGCTTTTAAGTTCCTCCGAGTTTAATCTTATCAAGGCAGGACATCATATTTTTGTAGAGAGAGAGAGAGAGAGAGAGAGAAAAGCAGTGAGAGACAGACAGAGACAGAAACACTGAGAGATTGAGAGGCAGAGACCGAGAGACACCAAGTCAAAGACAGGGAGAGAGACCCCTCCAGCATTTCCTCTTGAGAATTTTACATTAGCACAGATGAAAGCAGCCTGCCACTCTAGATTCTAGTTTGTAAAGCAGATCCTGAGGTACAACTTTCTCTTTTGATCTTTTATCTGCCACCAAGATCCAAGACCAGGACTGAACTCCACAAGCTCAAAACCTCCACAGTCCCAGCAACCAGCAAAATCTCAGCACCTGCATGCTTCAAGGACTGGAACCATTTGGGCCCTCAAGCAGCAGGAGAAACAGAAGAATGGGGGGAAGGGGAGAAACATAGAGCATCCCCTGGGAAATGCATTCCTTAAAGAGAAAAGCACTTACCTGTTTGTGCATTTCAATATTCAAGCCGTAGGACATCTCATAATACTAAAAGCAAAAAAGAAGAGCCATAAACAAACACAGATATCCACTCGGTTTTTCAAAATCTGTTTTTTTTTTCTTTCTTTCTGGAGAAGTTTTTGGACCAATTATAGTTTTATGATATTGAAGTTTCAGGTCAATCCCCTGAGAGGTTTAAGGTTGAGTGAAATCTCAACCCCTTAGGGAGGAGAGGAAAAAGCTCAGGGCTTTCAGAAGGTCCTAGTACTGACTAGTCAGACACCCTGGGGGGGGGGGGGGGGGAGGATGCCTCATCCTTGCTGGCTAGATCCCAGGCAGAGAAAAGTTTCCCAACATTGTCCCAGGAGGTCCAGGAGCTCATCATTCCCTGCCTACAGGTCCTACCCACCACCCCAGCCACAGTAAAGCCGGCTGCTTCCCCACCCCCACCTCCTACCCCCAAATCTGCAAAACACAAATGACAGGCCCACGAGGTAGAGCGGAGAGGCCTTGGGCGGCCTGGATACGGGTGCCGGGGATGGAGAAGGGAAGCGGGCTGAGGGTGCCCCACTGACCCAGCTGCCCTGTGGCCAAGTCCCAAGGACCCGAACCCTGCCCATCCTGCCCTCCGGGCCTCCTCACCATCACGTAATGGCGCTGCATCTCCGTCTTCTCGTTGGCCAGCTTGTCGTACTCCACTTTGAGGCTGTGAGGGCAAGAGGAGGCCCGCTCAGGCCTGGTGCCCGCACAGCAAGGGGCCCGTCCCCTCCCCAGGGGGACCTCGTTATCCCAAGACCAGGGGGGATTTAAACAACTTCCCTCAGGCCGGGCTACAGGAGATGATGAGGCACCTCCACCTAGGATACTGCGCTTCGCAGGGACTGGGGACACCCCCCGCCCCTCACCTGTGATACTGAGCTTGCAGGAACTGGAACTCGTCTTTGATCCGGTCACAAGACTCGGCCACCGTGAATTTAAATCCGGGCTGCCCGGGTTGATGGGGAGCCTGGAGCCCGGGGGGAGCAGACAGAGAGGGCCGGGGTATTAGACGCACTCCCCGGCCCGAGCCCCCCGGAAATGCCACCCCGCAGCCCCGACCCCTTCCGGGCAAGTTTCTCCTACCCTCCACGGGTCCTCCCGACCCCCCTGACCCCGCCGCGGCCGGGGCTCCAGTTCCCAAGCCGGAGGGGGCGGGGAGGCTCGGGAGAGGGGGGCGCACCTCCCCTCCCACACCCCGCCGCAAAGGCCGCCCCAACCCCTCGGGCGCAACTACCCCGGCTCTCCACGGCGCCCCCCGAGCCGCCCCTTTGTGTGTGCGCGCGCACTGCGCACACGTATACACACGCACACGTACTCACACGCACACGCGCGCGCGCGCCCAGGCACACAACCACGCACCCAAGTACACACACACACACACACACACACACGAGCACACACACCAACAACTACACGCACACGAACGCGCGGCGCCCGTACAGGCACGGAGCAGCCGGAGGAGCGGGGCCGCGGCGCACAGCCCGGCCGGGCTCACCCCACTGTGCGGTGCTTACCGGATGTCGGCCTTGCGGATACATGGCAGGGAGGGGTCGCGGTTCCGAGGGCGGGGAGGCGCCGGGAGCCCGCGCCGGGGAGGCGCGGGGGAGCGGGGAGCCGAGCCCGAGCGGGGGCCGGCCGGGGAACCGCGAGCTCGGCCCCGGCCCCCCCAGCCCGCTCTCACTGGGAAATCCCACAGCCGGGCGCCCGCCCCAAGTGCAGACAAAGAGCCGCGGAACGGGCGGCAAAGTCGCCGGCTGGCGCCGAGGCCCGCGGCAGGCGCGGGCTTTGTGCTCCTAGGGCTCGGCGGGCTGCGGCCGGCCGCCCTTCCCCGGCTGCGTGGACGGCGTCAGGGCCCTGGGCTGCGCGGACATCGTGGGCTCTCCGATGAGTCCGGTGCGGGGTCCGAGGCCGCTCAGGGCGCCGAGCTCTCCAAGACCACCCCGGGCATCCGGGGCGCGCGGGTCCGACCCCAGAGGCGGCGGGGGCCGGGACCGGGCGGCCAGAGAAGGAAGCGGACGGGCTCTGGGGCGGCGGCGGCGCGGAGCCGCAGGGGAGCGGGGGTGAGGCCCAAAGCCCGGCGAGGACGCCCCGACACCCCTCTTCCCTCGAAGACGAGCGCCTGCGGTTCCGGCCGCCGCCAGCCCTTCTTCCCAGGGCCGGGGAGCAACTCTGGGCTCAGCGGGTGCAAATCCACCACCCGGGCATCCTAACTCCAAGCGGGCACGGGAGGCCTCGGCCAATGGGGATCTTCGCTGCTCCCGGCTCGAGTGCCGCGTCCCCGGCGAGGGACGCCCGAAGCCACCGCCGCGGCTGCCTCGGAGCGAGCAGGGCTTGGAGACCGCGGGCGGGGAAGAGACGCAGCCGAGACCCGGAGCTCTGTGGCTTCTTCCTTCCTTCTCCTTCCTTCTTCCTTCCCTTCGGCCCGGCACTCTTCTAAACGCGGCCCGACGAGCCCCCAGCACACACACCAGAGAGGGGGGTGGGGGGGGAAAGTGGCCTGGACTTGCGGATACCACACACAGACAGGCGCGGGGGACGAGCACGAGGTCCGAACTGCCGCGAGAGCAGTTCCAAATAGGGACTAAAAAGTAACAAAATAATGTGGCAGCTTCTCCTGGAGCTGGCCAATGGGAGCTCGAGGATCCCACGTGGGGCCGCGAGAGACGGCCGGGGATTGGATGCTGCCGGGCGCGACGTCACAATGCCCTCTTGTGTCTAAAACTATGCATGAAAAGTAGCAATCAGGCCCTACCCGCTGGTGACTTTCGCAGGGGAGTGAAAAACAGCGCTCCTCAGATCAGGAATTAACCGAAAGACATATAATAAATAGATATATATTATAGGCCTGGACTGCTAGAGGTTTGTGTTTTTTTTTTTTGTTTCCTCCCCTCTACTTTTTTTTCCCACGATCTGCTAGCAAATAATTATTTGGCGGGAGGCAGAAAGAGAAGACAGAGGAATAACAACAAAAGAAAAAGAAGAAAAAAAAAAAAAAGACAAGCTGTACAATCCTCAAAACCTGTGGCTGGTAGTAATGTATCAGTTTGTTGTGCTGTGCAGGCGAACCGTTCTCCCTCTAATCTCATTAGGTCTGCAAAGCGGCCCAATTAGGTACTATAAAACAAACAGAATCACTTTGTCACTTTGTTTTCACTTCAGAAGATTTAGGACCGATAAAATGGTGGTTCCTCAAAGTTGCCTCCCACCTCGCTCCGAACTGGGGGTGGGGGTCCCTTTCTTCGCCCCTTCCCTGCCCCCCTCCTCTAGCCCCCAGCTCTGCTCCTTTGTTCATTCGCCTTTCTTCACCGAAAGCCAAGTAAACAGCGGCTGCCTGAGAGGGGAAGCTGAGGTCTGGCTGGGCGGGCAGCACAGATGGAGGCCCGGCTGCCCGCCCGCCCAGGCTCCGAACACCGCCGGCCCTCACTCGGGGCTCCTTCCCCGTCGGTGACCGCGACGTCCCGGCCGCAGCCCGGCCGGAAGGGCTCCTGGCTGCGCTACTGGCCCGAGGGACTGGAGAGCAGAACGGGGTCAGGGCCTAGCCGACCGCGACCCGGGAGCTCAGAGTTCCGACAGGGTTTACTGGGCCGGCCCCAGGCTGCCGCAGCCCCACGCGGGCCGCCCGTCTCCGCGGATGCTTCAGGCCCCCGCGTGCACCCCGTGGGTCCCCTGCGCGGACGCACTGACCCCGGGGCCCGTTTGCCCACAGCGGACAGCGCGGTTCCCGGGCGACCTGGGTCAGATCAGGACACCGACGGCAGGGATCAGGGGTCCCCGGCCCTCCCCGGCCCCTCCCCGGCCCGCGCGCGCCCCTAGGCGGCGGCCAGCGCGCGCGCGCGGCCGCGCGCCCGGCGATCTGCATTTCCCCCCCCCCCCCACGCCCCCATTAGGAGCCCCAGGTTCGCGTTTGCATCTTAATGAGGAGCCGGAGCTCGGAGGCCCGAGCGCGGGGAGCGGCGCGGGAGGCCCCGCTCCGGCCGCCGACCCTGCTCCCCTTTTTGTTTACTCCCCCCAAATAAAAACATAAATCGTGTGCGGCGCGCACGGTAAAGGGGAAGGCGGGGGGAGGGTTAGGGAAAAGCCCAGCTCGACAGATGCGAGCATCTGGCCTCGGCATTCATTAGACACAAAATGGCTCCTCTCCGGAGCTTCCTTGTCCCCGCCCCCTTCACCGCCCTCCCCTGACGTCACGGGCGGGCGCACCCGCATCCCAGACGCCCCGCCCCCTTCTCCCCTTGGCCCCCCACGTGGGAAACGCGGGCCACGCCCATCAGCAAGCCCACAGGACCAATCACAGGTAAGCAGAAGAGCTACTCGCTACTGATTGGCGAAGGGGCCGGGAGCTGTCAGTCCTGGGCCAGAGCTGTCAGTCAAAACCACGCGGGATGGGGGAGCGCTGACAAATGCCGCGGCTTCAGAGCCTCCCGCTTGCAAATAGTGCTTGGAATGGCTGCTTAATTAGCTTTGAATGGCTTTTCCTTCCAGCTCAAACAATCTGTCACTACCATGTGGTAGAAAGGAGCCGTGCATAAAAAAGTAAGCAGAGGCTAAATATCAATTTGATTTTGTGTATCAAAGGAATATTTTATTTTTCTCCCTAGTAATGAAACGTATCAATTTAAATAATAAAAGGTAAAAACACACACAAACCCGAGCGGGGTGGGGGGGGGGGGGAACTAAAAGAAAGAAAAAGAGAAGAAAAAGAAAAAGATGAAAAACTAAAAAAAAAAGAAGAAAAAGAGAAGACGAAAAAAAAAGGAAAAGAAAACCCAAACTCCACCGCATCCCGACTCCTTCGCAAGCCTGAAAATAGGTAAATTCTCCGGATCACTTTCTGGAGGGAGTCTGAAGGCTCCCCCCCACTCCCCCGGCCCGCTTGAGCCCCGCTTTGGGTGTTTTGTGGTCCTCGTGGGGCCTGGCTGCGGTGCAGGGGAGGAGTGGGGTGAGGACGGGCCCCGACGGGATCTCTTTGAAGCTGCTAATCAAAGTGCAGGGGGGGGGGGACGGGAAGACCCCTTAAACTGGGGGTCCCACAGCAGGTCTCGATTTGGGAGCCGAGGGGAGAGAGAGCGGGTGTGCGTTTCGTCCAGATTTATTAAACACAATGCCTTCAAGATGCTGGGGACTGGGCGGCCCCGGCCTCCCTCCCTCCTTCCCTTCCCCTTCCCCCCCCCTCCCTCCCCGGCTCCGTGGCTCCTCGGGGATGCCTTGGATCCTGCCCCCCTTCCCCTCCTCCTTCGATGCCCCGATTGCGGGGCACCGGGGATCCCCACGATCCCGACGACCCCACATCCAGTTCACTCAGCCCTGGAGCTCCGACCCCCGCCCCCCCCCCCCGCACCATCCCCACCTCCTGGGCCAGGCTCGGCGCCCTCCCCGCCCGGAGAGGGGGGCTGGGAGCGGGGTGGGGGGGGGAGGCCTGGATGGTGGCCCGTGTTATAACCCAGTAGAAAAGGCCGGGCCGGGTGAGCTCTGTGCTTGGGCAGTGAGGTCAGAACCGGAATCCAGAGCAACCGGCTCCGCTGCCAACCTTCACACGCAGCTTTGCGCCCCGCACCGGGCGGGCTGTCTGCGGGGACGTTTGCGAAAGCAGTCCTTCATTCCCAGCCCCGCAAGCCTGCATGCATTCATCCATTCACTCATTCATTCATGCATTTCCCCAGCCCTCCCTCTTGTTGGGGTGGGGGGAATCCCCCTCCCCTATCCGAGGGGCGAAGTGAGGAACCAGCCAGCACCTCTTTAACTCCAAGCGGGCCTGAGCCAACCCCCACCCCTATGCCAGCCCACAAATTAAGAAAAACAAGGAGGAGGAGAAGAAAAAAAAAAGTATTTCTTTTATGCTTCCAGAAAGAGGAAAAGAAAAATTTGAAAAACATGGTCCACAACACCCTGTCCAAAGCGCTTGACAATTATTTTAAAAGGAGGAGGGGAGAGAGGAGAGAGGAGAGGAGAGAAAGAGTTCAAACGTCTCTGTCTCCAGTTCTAATTGGAAACGTTTCAACTGTTTATGTTACAAGAAGTGTCAGGGTCATTTGCTACCGGAGAGCTGACTTTTCATTGGCTGCTTAATTGAGTACCTCGGAGTCCACCCCACGTGGGAGAGGAATTCCTGGCACATTAAAAAAAAAAAAGTCACCAGGGTGAGACAGAAAGTATGGACTGGATTTCCAGAATGGAGGTTCCCCCCCAAATCCCTCATTTGGGGGTTCAGGATGATGAGGGAGCAGCTTCTGCCAAGAGCCAACCCTCTGGATTCTTTTTTAAAAAAAATAAATAAATGGCAGGCAGTTTAGGTGAGTGTATGTTTATCTCCCTTTTCTTGAGAATTAAAGGGTCTAGCCTCTGGTCAGCCACCAGGCTGTGGCTAGCTATTTGAGGAACTGACCCATGCAGTGTCTTGGGTGGGGTGTAAACCTTAAACCTCCTTCTTCCTTGACTTTGATTCCCCCCACCACCCAAAGCCTCTGGCTGGAACTGCCCAAACCCTGAAGAGGAAAGAAGAAATTTTCGTCACCAGCCTCACTCCCCACCTCCCTCTGGTTGGTTCTATCAAGGTTTCCCTGATTTGGAGGCTTTTGTCTTCATCCCTGGAATGATTTTGCCC